TCCAGCTTTTAGGAGATGGTTCTCATCTTAGATTTCACTTTACAGGTTTCTGGGAGAGTCACCTACAATGGCCACACATTGACTGAATTTGTGCCTCAAAGGACTTCTGCTTACATAAGCCAACACGACTTGCATAGCGGGGAGTTGACGGTGAGGGAGACGTTTGATTTTGCTTCTAGGTGTCAAGGCGTGGGAAGCAGATATGGTAAACAACGTCCTGGGTTGGCGTGCAAATGGAATTGACTTTCTTATAACTTGTGTCAGAGATGATAACGGAGCTTTCAAGACGGGAGAAAAACGCCAAGATCAAACCGGATCCCGATGTTGATGCGTTCATGAAGGTAATAAGCACTTTGTGGTTGGCAGCGTTCTTACGAGCTTCTTACAGGCGTCGGCTATAGAGGGTCAGGAGACCTCCATTGTGACGGACTATGTGCTGAAGGTAAGCGTGTTTTGGATCGTGATCAAAGAGGATTCGCGGTTCTCATGCATTTTTTCGCTTCCAGATTTTGGGTTTGGACGTTTGTTCTGATATAGTTGTCGGAGACGCCATGCGCAGGGGTATTTCTGGAGGACAAAAGAAGCGTGTCACTACAGGTAAGACTTGCAAGCCTGGAAGCGTTTTGGTCACGATTTGTTTATGACAAATGTTTATTTTGCAGGAGAGATGCTCGTTGGGCCTGCAAAGTCTCTTTTCATGGACGAGATTTCAACCGGTCTTGACAGCTCGACCACATTTCAGATAGTGAAGAGCTTAAGGCAGTTTGTCCATGTGCTCGATGCTACCATGGTCATCTCCTTGCTCCAGCCTGCTCCCGAGACGTTTGAGCTTTTCGACGACTTGATTCTTCTGTCGGAGGGGCAGATTGTATATCAGGGGCCCCGGGAACTCGTGTTGGATTTCTTCGAGACGCAGGGATTTAAATGTCCTCCGAGGAAAGGTGTCGCGGACTTTTTGCAAGAAGTTACGTCAAGGAAAGACCAGGAACAGTATTGGGCTGACAAGAGGATGCCATACAGATTTATACCTGTCCAGGAGTTCGCGGATGCCTTTCAAAAGTTCCATGTCGGTCAGAACATTGCTGAAGAATTGGCGCGGCCTTTTGACAAGAGTAAAAGCCATCCGGCAGCTCTTGTCACTCAGAAGTACGCTCTTAGTAACTGGGAGCTTTTCAAGGCTCTCTTGGCGCGGGAGATACTTTTGATGAAGAGGAACTCATTCGTCTACGTGTTCAAAAGTTCTCAGGTATGCTATCAAAGACTAAAATCTATATATCTGATACTAAAATTTCCAATGCAGCTGATTGTTATAGCCGTAATCACGATGACTGTGTTTCTCCGGACCGAAATGCATCACAGAACTGTTGGCGATGGCAGTCTCTACATGGGAGCCTTGTTCTTCGGCCTGATCATGGTCATGTTTAATGGATTTGCGGAGTTGTCGATGACCATTGCGCGCCTTCCAGTATTTTACAAGCAGCGGGACCAGATGCTATTTCCTGCGTGGGCATTTTCTCTTCCTAACGTGATCACTCGAATTCCAGTGTCCCTGCTCGAATCAGCAATTTGGGTGTGCATGACGTACTACGTGGTTGGATTTGCTCCTAGTGCCGCCAGGTTTGTTGCATTGATGTTTAATGAGAAATAGTGTTGATATTTTATGTTTGAGTGTTTCAGGTTCTTCCAGCAGTTCCTCCTCATGTTCTTAATTCATCAAATGTCGGGAGGTCTTTTCCGATTCATTGCTTCACTTTCTCGGACTATGGTTGTAGCAAACACCTTCGGCTCTTTCACGCTGCTGATAGTTCTTGTCCTCGGTGGTTTTCTTCTTTCTAGAGGTAATCCATTGACTATACTCAGGTAGCACAACTTATATGGTCTTTAATTTCCAGAGGACATTGAACCTTGGTGGATTTGGGGATATTGGTCGTCGCCCATGATGTACGCACAGAATGCGCTTGCCGTGAACGAGTTCAGTGCATCAAGATGGCAGATTCTCGAAAATGCCAATCAGACCACCACCGTTGGCAACCAAGTTCTAGAGTCTCGAGGCCTGTTCCCCAATAAAAACTGGTATTGGCTTGGAACTGGTGCTCAGTTGGCTTATGCCATTCTCTTCAACGTTGTTTTCACTTTGGCACTCGCTTACTTCAGCGGTACGTAGGAATCTATTTCTTTTCTCCATGTAGGTACTCATTTTTTATATTCAAACAGCTCCTGGGAAACCGCAGGCCGTAGTGTCTGAGGAAATACTAGAAGAGCAGAACATGAATCGTACCGGCGAAGTCTCAGAAAGATCAGTGCATGCAAAATCAAAGCGATCCGGCAGATCTTCTAATGCAGGTAATGGCGCCATCACAAATTTCATTATATGGTCTAACATCGAATGCCAGGAGATCTGGAGCTTACGTCTGGTCGAATGGGTGCCGATTCTAAAAGGGGAATGATACTCCCGTTTCAACCTTTAGCAATGTCATTCAATCATGTTAACTACTACGTTGACATGCCCGCGGTATGCTTTTACGCATTTCCTTTGTAGGATATTGAGTTCTAATGTACTTGTAACAGGAAATGAAGCAACAAGGCGTGACAGAAAATAGATTACAGTTGCTGCACGACGTAAGCAGTAGCTTCAGGCCTGGAGTTCTCACGGCACTTGTCGGTGTAAGCGGTGCTGGAAAGACAACTCTCATGGATGTTTTAGCCGGGCGTAAAACTGGTGGCTACATTGAAGGCGACATTCGCATCTCCGGCTATCCCAAAAACCAGGCTACTTTTGCTAGGATTTCGGGTTATTGCGAACAAACTGACATTCATTCACCCAACGTTACAGTGTACGAGTCACTGGTTTATTCTGCTTGGCTCCGACTATCGGATGACATTGATAAGGGGACGAAAACGGTAAGGAGAGAGATGTTTTTCGTAGTCAAGTTTTCTAAGGTGAGTTTTGGAACAGATGTTTGTGGAAGAAGTTATGGAGCTTGTAGAGCTTAACCCTCTCCGGGATGCGTTGGTTGGTCTCCCTGGAGTTGATGGACTTTCGACCGAGCAGCGGAAACGACTGACAATTGCCGTGGAGCTCGTTGCAAATCCTTCAATTATTTTCATGGACGAGCCAACTTCCGGACTGGATGCACGAGCGGCAGCAATTGTCATGAGAACGGTCCGGAACACTGTCGACACCGGTCGCACTGTCGTCTGCACCATTCATCAGCCTAGCATTGACATTTTTGAGGCCTTCGATGAGGTACGCGATTATTACCTTGCAAACTCTCTTGAAAACCTGCCTGCTTTCTCCAGCTTCTGTTGATGAAACGCGGAGGGCGCGTTATCTACGCAGGTTCCTTGGGAAAGAACTCGCACAAACTTGTTGAATACTTCCAGGTAAGTCGCTTGCTTTGTTCTTGCAGACTTGAGATGATTTATATGGATTAATTTCCCCAGGGTATTAGCGGTGTTCCTAACATAAGAGAAGGATACAATCCAGCTACATGGATGTTAGAGGTTACCGCTGCAGACGTGGAGAGTCGTCTGGGAGTAGATTTTGCGGACATCTATAAAACTTCTTCAGTCTACCAGTAAGCACACTTGACCCTTATCTCTTTCTTGGCTAAACCACTGGTGTGTCTAGGCACAATGAAGCTATTATTACTCAGCTGAGCACTCCGGTTCCCGGCACGGAGGACATATGGTTTCCAACGCAATACCCTCTGTCGTTCCTCGGACAGGTCATGGGATGCTTGTGGAAACAACATCAGTCATACTGGAAAAATCCATACTACGTTCTGGTTCGCATGTTCTTCACCTTGGTTGTCGCGATAATATTTGGCACAATGTTTTGGGACATCGGCTCCAAAAGGTAAACGTTGCGTAGTTCAATCGAGCGTTGGTTCTGACTCCTGCCTTTCTCTTGTGAGCAGATCACGAGAACAAGACCTCTTTAATCTGATGGGATCTATATACGCTGCTGTGCTCTTCATTGGGTTCAGCAATTCATCAGGAGTGCAGCCGGTCGTTGCTATTGAGCGAACGGTCTACTATCGAGAAAGAGCCGCTGGAATGTACTCTCCCCTTCCATATGCTTTTGCTCAGGTAAGGCATACATCCGACTCTTCAGATTTCGTTTGACTCATCAAGGAAAACTCTGTGCGTCCAGGTCCTGATCGAGATTCCCTACGTGTTCGTGCAAGCCTTCTCGTATGGACTCGTTGTGTACGCGACGATGCAGCTGGAATGGACAGCAGCCAAGTTCTTGTGGTTCCTCTTCTTCTTGTACATGACGTTCCTCTACTTCACGCTCTGCGGCATGGTGACGGTGGCGCTGACACCCAACGACCAGATTGCAGCCATCGTATCCTCGGCATTCTACACAATCTGGAACCTGTTCTCTGGCTTCATCATCCCTCGACCCGTAAGTTCATGAATTCCACACATTTCTTTTCCGATTTCTTAACACTTTGGTTTGTTTCTTGGTGTCTCTCAGGCAATTCCAGTGTGGTGGAGGTGGTACTACTGGGCGTCGCCACCGGCGTGGTCTCTCTACGGCCTCTTCACGTCTCAGCTTGGAGATGTCACCACGCCGTTGTTCCGGGCCGACGGCGAAGAGACGACCGTGGAGCGCTTCTTGAGGTCCAACTTTGGGTTCAGGCACGACTTCTTGGGCGTCGTGGCCGGAGTTCACGTCGGCCTCGTCGTCGTCTTCGCGGTGTGCTTCGCCATCTGCATCAAAGTTTTCAACTTCCAGAACCGATGATCGATCAATTGGTTTTCGTGGGAGAAATTCTAAAGAACGAAGAAACTCGGTGCTGCCCCCATAACGATAGCTCCAGGGGCATCACAACATTTTTTACAATGAAGAGAATGTACAGTTTTCTTTGAATTATATAACCAGCCAAAAGGCTGGGTTTTTTTTTTTTTTTGAATGTGTACTTTTAGAATATTCCGTCTCACGCGGGAGAATATGCCACGAAATTGAAACGCGGAGGTTGAAACCCTCTGGGTATTCTCGTGTTCTTGATGGTTTGGGGACTTCTCGCGGAGGCGGTGGCTGCCAGGGCGCCCTAGCGCGTGAAGGATCGATTTTGGGAGCTCGGGCGGCATGGCATGGCGTCAGTTGCTGGAGAAGGTATGGCGCTCTCTTTCCTCTCTCCCATTAGGGCTGCGCCCGCGCTGATTGCCCGCGGATTTCGACCACAGGGAGGCTCCTCCGCCAAGCAGATGGTGTCGGCGGCATCCTTGTATGGGCTGGGACGCGCGATTGTGTTGAAGCAGCTGGATGCAGGCATTTTTCTATCCGATTTCCCTCGTCCTCTTCCCGTTGCTAATGATGCTTGAATTTCGGATGGCGCAGGGATCGTGTTGAATCGCCTCAAGAGACGCTGCATGTCGAGCTACACAAGCAATTTCTCGAGAAGGCTGGAGGAGCTGGAGAGAGAAGGAGGGCCCGATGCTCGGAGAAACAAGTGAAGTTTCTAAGAGATCTTAACAAGGTGGATCCCGAGGGAGTGATTTGGTGGTTCGAGAGTAGACCACTTCCGCAGCACAGCGCTGGTGCTTTGGCCGAGTATCTCAAAGCTCTCGTCAAGGTCGATAGGCTCGATGACAGTGCCTTGTTGAAAACGCTGCAAAGAGGTAAACGCTGTAACTCTTTCTTTATCGGATCTGATCCTCTTTTTTTTTTTTAAACTGTGTAAGAGTAACTGCATCGCTAGGAAGTTTTCAAGCTGAGGCGCGACCGATCATGTCTTCGGCAGGCAGTAGGAGCAGCCACGAAAGACGGAATTTTGGGCTCTCCCAGTGCGCCAATCCACATGGTCACGTCCGAAGGAGGTTTTAGAGTTCAAGTGTGGCGGACTGTTCGAACCTTGGCTCTGGGCTTTCTCCTTCTCTCTGGCGTTGGGGCCATTGTCAAGGACAAGGGCCTCAGCAAAGGTAAGCATCGTAGAGCATGGCTTGCAATGCAGCGACTGGAAAGACGATGCTGGCTCGGGCAACTGCTGGTGAAGCAGGGGTACCGTTTTTCTATTGCAGCGGGAGCGAGTTCGAGGAAGTGTTCGTCGGATGTGGTGCTCGGCGAGTGCGGGACTTATTCGCAAGCACTCGCCATGCATAATCTTCATGGACGAAATTGATGCAATAGGTGGGAGCTGAAATCCCAAGGACCAACAGTACATGCTGGTGGAGCTGAACGGTTTCAAGCAAAACGAAGGCATCATAGTGATCGCGGCTACGAACTTCCCGAATCTCTCGACAAGGCGCTTATCCGTCCTGGTCAGTTCGATCGGCATGTGGTGGTTCCAAATCCAGACATCCAGTTAGAGAACATCCATTTATGTATAAACACCTTGCTTTTCTTTTTTTCTTTTTTCTCTTTTTTTTATCTCTTATTTTTCTTCTCTTCTCTTGAACTTTGATTTTTCTTGTATAGATAGCAACAGGTTTTCTGGCACAAGTTTTATAGTGAAAGAAGATGCTTTAGCTATTTGAACACCTACCTAGAGGTCACATTAACGTTCTTGTTACATAAACGTATAAGTTTAGTCTCTTGTTATATGGGTTGTAGTGTTCTTCCATTGCAACTTTTATGAATCTTTCTTTTTCATAATTATTTTTTTTATTAAATGTGTTGTGGGTTATGTAAAGCACCCACAACACATAAACTCATCCCGTGTCCAAATTCACAATTTAATGCCATTTCATATTTAATAAGTTTCAAGCCTGTCTCAAATACTAACTCCTGATACTGAGGGAGGCTTAAGGTGAAAGCCCAAAACGTGTGTTCCTTAGGGGGGGATGGGTGGCTGGGCTATGGGGGGGGGTTCCAAATGTATATTAGGGATAGTGGGTAAGTCAAGCATGGCTAACCAACCTGAAACTCCCATTTGTGTGTTTGTCCTTGTTCTGCGTCTGGCATGTGTCATATGGCATAAAGAAGGTTTAGCTTCCACTTTTTGGTGTTATCCTATGGTAAATCACCATAGGATAAAGGGTCAAAACCACATGCATTACATTTTCCCTATAGTTTTAAAAGTATTTTTCATTTATAAATTCTTGCAAGTTGACTATATGATTGTGGCTTTTACTTCTGGCTGCTACACACATCATCAAATTTGTAAATGACTAGACAAGCATGCATAGCATATAGTGGTAATCACTACAATACTAAAAAGAAGAAGACAAAAAGGTAATTTTAATGGGGTAATTTATTTTGTTTATAAGCATGAATTAACATTATGAGCACCACTCATTAGATTGAGTTTTCATTTTATATCTCAATTTTATTTGTAGAACAAATATATAGATATACTACTTAATAAAGAAATGTGTTTTAGGTATTTTTAGAAATGATAAGTAGGCTCTAAATATAGAAATACACCCCTTTTTTATACAAAGGTGAACAAGCCACACTATTGAGGAGTAAGGTTGTTTATTCACATTAGTTGAGAGCAAAAATACATAAAATTGGGAGTTTGATCCATATTTGAGTATATTGACAGTCATATGTAGCTTCTATGCAAATGCCTCCATGCAGCATTTACATAAACTCCAATTGTTTATATTCTTTGTAAGTGCTTCTATTTTGTATAGATAGGTGAATTCTTTTGTTCTCTATTTAAACAAATTTAAAGTTTCAAAAACTTCATAGGATCTACTTTTGCATCCTTAATGTCATGCATTCTCTTTTTCTACTTGGGCATAGCTCAACATGTACTCCATAGCTTCCACCCTAGACATGTAATGATTTTTGCTAATATTGTTCTTGAAAGCAATGGAGTGCAACTCATTACCCTCTTTATCTTAGAGATGGAATTGCTGGCTTTTATAATTGCCACTTGAGATTGGTAGATAGAAAGAAAAGGCTTTGACACAAGAGAGCTAATGTCATTAGTCTATTTGCTAGGAGAAAATTTCTGTAATGTAGCTATATAATTTAATTATATTTTCCCACACAATTGCAAAACTAAATTTTCAAGTTCCCAACTGTAGTGTGGCAATAGAGAGGTTGCACTAGATCTATTAGCACAAATAAATGGGAAATTATAATTGATTCTAACTATCAAATTTTAAAACAATTATAAATCTATCAAGATCAACTTATATGTCTTTGTGAGAAATGCAATACCCAAGATAAATCTTGGGATCCAAACAAGCAATTAGACTACTTTAGTTTCAAATCAATTTGACACAATTAATTTAACACCTTTTGGATATTATAGACATATATACTCCTATTATGTCCCTTTTGAGTGGATCAAAGTATCAATAATAATGTTAGTAGTTATTTTTAGCATATTGTAGAGAAACTTATCTATTATCCACTGGAAAGTTGCAAAAGTATTATTCAAATGAAAAAATCATGTAATAAAATTTTGATTTAGCACTATCTATAACAATTTAAACTCAAGTTTATGATCACACAACTAAATTTGTTTTATGCTATACATATGCATATGGTTGTTGTTATAGAGAGTGAAAACTAGCTTTACCATATGATGTAAATGTAGACAATAAGATATAGTAACAGACAGAGCAATGAAAGATAAGTTTAAATTCGTATAAGGAAATACAAAAAAGGATAGACCTTTTATTATAAAAGAAACTTAGAAAGTGGTTAAATAGGTATTAAATGAACCTTTTGATGAAAGAGAGCAATAAAAAAGAAATGGAACATTTACAAGAACAAAACAAATCTAAACAATGCAAAAGTTAAATAAAAAAATAAAATAAATCCAATTACTCTTAACATTGCCCTTCATCTCCTATGTATAATATGTATATTTATATTAGTCCAAAACCCTAGGTTATATAGAAGAAAATGTGGATCAAAATGCTATTATATTTTTAATTTTTTAAAACTGAGGCAAAATTAATTAATTAGAGAAAATTATTTAATTTGAGGTAAATTAAATAATTAAATCAACTTATTAATTAATAAAACATGATAAATTCAACATAATCATATGGATTGTCTACAAGTACATGAATTGTGGCCAAGTTCATTACATGGGTCATAAATTGGCTCAAATTAATTAATTTAATCTTAAATTAAATAATAAAATTAACATATTAATATGTTATATTTTCTACATTAATTTATTTTTTGAAATCCCCCCAATTTGAAACTGTGAGTGCTTGGAATATGGAAAAGGAATACAGAAATGTGCATATTAATTAGCCCAAAAACCCTAGCTTATATACAGAAGCGAGTGGTCCAAATTGAAACCAATCTGACGGCTACCAAAATCCCACTATGCTAATATTAGTATACGGCATCGTAACCGTACACTTAGCCCTCACATCATCCCCTCCTCTCAGAATAATGGAAGGCTATTAGGGTTCTCTTGTAGATGGGCCAGGATCTGGAGGAACGTCAAGAGGAGGCATCGGCGGATCTGTAGACGGCATTAATTGCTCCTGATCCCTTTGTATGAAGCGTTTTAACTGCTGCACATGCACAATCTCTGGAGGATCGGCCTGCTGGATGTTATGCCGAACCTCATAAACTTGTGGTCCAACTTGTTGCAATACCCGATATGGTCCTTTCCATTGCGCAAGGAGCCCTTTAGATAAACCACGTACCGTAAGATGGGGAAAACGGACTAACACCAAATCATCCACTTTGTACTCTGCATGTGGATGATGATGGGAGTTGTAGCGCCTTTGTTATCCCACTTGTACGCAGCCTAAGTGTTTGGCAAACTCTGCTCGGACAAGTGGAAGAATGCTCGTCAAATATTAATCCCATGACCTAGCATCAGGAGCTTATGGCAATCGCGAAGGTAAACCCAGCTCCGTTGGTAATATTGGATCATGACCATATAGAAGTTTATATGGTGAAGCATCAACAGAACTCTACACCCCTGTGACATAGGCATACCGAAGAAATGGCAAATAACCATCCCAATCCGAATGCTGAAAGTTCACATACTTCGCAATCATCCCTTTGAATGTCCGAACAAGTCGTTCCACCAGACCGTCTGATTGTGGATGATAAGCACTCGTGAAAGTATGGCATATCCCCAATCGAGACGTCAAAACATGAAATGCCTCAGCCATAAATGCGGGACCATTATCCGAAAGAATCCACTCTGGACAAGAATGCTGGAACACCACTCGATTGAGGAGGAAATATCCAACAGCAGTTGCAGAGGCGCTAGCAAGAGCACCAACTTCCACCCAACGAGTCAAATAGTCAGAAGCAATAATAATATACTCATTGCCAGCAGTCAACTGTGGAAAAGGTCCCATAAGATCAAATGCCACTAACTCAAACGGACGGGAAACCGCAATTGACTCCAACCGTCCTTCTGCAGCACGAGGGGGAGTATTACGAGCTTGGCACCAAACGCAGCTACGCACATACCGGATAATATCACGTCGCATCTTCGGCCAATAGAAAGACCTATGCAGCTTCTCGGTGACACGACGGTGTCCCATATGCCCACCTAGAACAGGAGGATCATGGTAGGCATGGAGAAACCGCGGAATAAACACCGAGGCACCACCAGCCGTAAATGATCATCAGGATCCGTCCCCACAAAATAAAGAAGGCCATCTTCAAGATGATATTGAGAATGTAAATGCCGGAAAAGCAAGTCATTAGCAAGTGATGCAAGATTCTCAAACCCATCTCGAAGCCTTCGAATCCACGGCTCAATCTTTTGAGCCTCGCGAACCTCATCAAGAGAAGGTAGATCTTGCTCTGCGCCCTGTGGACACTGAACGTCAAGGACAGCAACCACCGATGGCACAGAATCCTCATCTAGAAAATCCATAGATGCTGGAACAACAGGTTCATTAGAAACATGAGAAGTGAGTGGAGAAGGAAGACGAGCTCGAGAAAGGGCATCAGCATCAGCCATAGAACTCCCTGGGCGATGAACAACATCGAAATCATATATTTAAAGTTTCAAAGCCCATCGAACCGTATGACCAACCAGGTTCTTCCGCTTCAATAATGAAGTAACAGCAGCATGGTCACCTTCAAGTAACGTCTGAGAACCATGTAGATATGCATGAAGTTTCTCGAAACCCCAGACTGCTGCTAAACACTCCTTCTCCATCGTGGAGTAGTTCATCTCCGTTGGTTGTAATGTATAGCTTATGTATGCAATGAGATGGCGCTGACTAGGCACACTCGAGCTCTCTTGCATCAACACACCTCCAAGACCAATGTCAGAAGCATCCACGCGCAAAATAAAAGGTCGAGTGTAGTTAGAATATGCCAAAATCGAAGGAGTCGTCAATAGCTCTTTGAGATCCACAAATGCCCGCTCACAATCCGGAGACCAGATGAAAGATGACGTTGATGACTTCAGCAACGCTCGCAATGGTGTAGTGCGATCGGAAAGATGAT